CGTCTTCCAATATCTTTCATTAGAAAATGGGTACACGGGCTGGGCGCGGTGGCTCAACCTGTCATCCCAGCACGTTGGGAGGCCGAGGCGAGAGGACTGCCTGAGCCCGCGGGGTTGAGACCAGCCTGGGCAACTTGGTGAGACCTTGCCTCTACAATAAATCACAAAAACTAGCCAGGTGTGGCGGCGTGCACCTAGTTCCAGCTACTTGGAAAGCTGAGATGGAAGAATCTTTAGCCTAAGCCCAGCAGGTCGAGGCTCCAATGGCCGTGAGTGTGCCACTGCACTCTAGCCTGGGTGACAGAGTGAGACTCTAACTCAAAAAAAAAAAAAGAGAGAGAGAGAGAAAATGTGTACATGATGTTTAAAGTTGAATTTGTGAGCTATCCTAATATTTCAGTGTAAACACCTACAGTTATACTTCTTTAACAAAGTATCCATTTCTCCAGAAGTGAACCTTGAAACAGCCTCTCTTTTTCTGCCTTATCACACAATTGGTTATTTCTAGACTTTCCTACACAGGATGGAGCCAGATGGCTGACACTTAGTTCACTTGTGATAGATATAATATTTTAATATTTCACATTTCATTGTGGAAAAGGGTGTATTATTACTCAAGGAAACATTTTCTTGACATGGAAAAGCATTGTTCGGACTTCCATGTGGTCAGTTTCAAAAGTAAAGAGGAAAATGATGTATTTATGAACTAAGTACTGAGTTTCAATCATATGTAATTTCTGGGCTCCTAATAGGGAAAAAAAAACAATTTAGCAGTTTTTTTCAATTGTGTGTGATTTCTTCAGGCATCTGGGGAAAAAAAGTGTTTTTTTTCCAATATCTTTTGCTCAAGATATGGATTCCTCATCATGTTTAAAATCTTCCAATATGAAGGTTTTTATATAATGGAAAACACTTGGGGCATTTAATACTATTAGCATTATTCATTTTGCTGATACCCCTAATAATCTCTTCTATAAAAGAAACTCTAATCCAAACTTCAAGACTGCATTATATTTAAGAATTTTTTCCTTACGAAAATTGGTGAACCTAGTATCTCATATGCATTGGGATTTTATTTTTAAAGGCACCTATTGTTTCACTCATGTTTCAAATTTTCTTAGTGTCCAAATTCTATTTTAGTCTTTATTGTAGTAGAGATTGTTTTCCTTAAGATCCATGAGTCCAACATTAATTCTGACCACTTAGAACAAAGTTTGACAGATCCTCCTGAATTATAAAACAAAACACACACAAAACTGTAAATTAACATAGAAAATAGGCTTCCCAAGAAGTTCATTTTGAGAGAAGACCTAGAGATAGAGGTCATCAGCTATTTCTACGGATAAAACTTCCTGTTTCCAGAGAAATCTGAAGTTCTAGATACCCCAAACTGGGGTCATGTGAGACCATCATTCACGCTCCAGATCAGATTAGAGACATACTCCACCAATGGCTGAACCACAAAGACTGTAGTTGCTAACAGTTTCTCATCCAATGTGTATCATTTTGAATGATTCCAAATTACAAGATCAAGGTTGTATGTGTCTACATGTTGGTGGGCGGAATAAAGTTTCCAAAAGACAAGGCCATTGTTTATTTTCTGTGCTTGATGAAAAGTATCTTAAAATAGCACAATATAAAATTCGCTTGCTACTTTCTAGATTTTATTACTTTCATGTTCATTGCTGTTAGGAATCACGAATGTTTTTTCCCAAATCATAATCTACTATAGAGGGTTTTTCCGTTTGAATTCATGATTCGATGCGTGTGATTACTAGATTATACAAAGACAAGAAACTTGCTGGAATGGAGAGGCAGGTTGTAAAATATTAAGTTTAAGATGAAACATAGTTTAAAATAGAAAACCAAGATATAGAAATCTAACAAAACAAGAAGCTCCCATGTAGATCCAAGAGACGAGACACGCAAAATAAATTCTGTCATCAACAAAAGATGCGACATTGCTAAGGTCTTCTGAAACGAGGACGGCCACATGAAATGAGGATGTGACCGAAAAGAGCAACAAACCAAAATCTGAACAGAGAACATAAAAATGTTCCTCTTCAGTAACAAGCAGAGCTCTCATGGGCAATTAGATAGCTGTGATTTCACACAAGCTTTCCCTTTAAAAAAAAAAAACAAAACCATCCAGGCCTTAAGACAGGCCTCCGTTCCCCAGAGGGTCACAGTCCTCCCTCTCTTCTCTGCACTTGTGCCCGTAGACCCTGCCGGAGGGCTTCCCCGCCACCCCATCCGTGTGTCGTGCTTCCACAGTGACTTGAGGTCTGGAGATGCGGCACGCAGCACAAACACACACTCGTGGATCCTGCCAGATCCATGGCATGATGTCGGGCCAGGCTTATGTTTTCTCTCTCCCACAGATGCTGCAGTGTTTTCAAAACAGGGCCGGGCAATCCCCTCTCTCTCCTGATAGCTTGTGAGGAACCAGCCTAATGAAGGCAAAAGGAAGCCTGCCTCTACACCACAGTATTGCCACGAGTAAGATCTGATTATGGAATGTCACAGCTTACATCTTCTTTGTCTTATCTTCAGGAAGGGACAGGGCCCATTTCAAAAAGGGAAAGAGAGCGGGTTGCCACAACAGATTGTGACAGATTAATTACTATTTATCATGGTAAATATGTATCAAAGAAAACATATAAATGTCTTTATCTAGTCATAATCACTTCAAAGGAAACTTTTTAAATCCTCGATCTTTTAAGATTTGTTATGCAAATACTCAGACACACTGAAACAAGTTTTAGAGGTATCTCTTATCAAATATATAGTCATAATCTTATTCGAGCTTAAAAAAAGAAGATGCATGGCAGAGGTCTAAAAAGATAGAAATAAAGATCTATTGGGGCTGCAGTGTGACAGTGTCTATTACAGACCTTTTTTGGAATCAAGCTAAAATATATTATTTTGTGTGGTGGTAAAGGCATGTGGATCTTGTTATCAGTAGTCAGCATTCAATACATACAGCAATGCTAATATAAACTACATTAAATTGCTATTAAAACAGAGCTGAGAGATTTTTCTAAGTGATGAGTAAATAGATTACTGGATTCTAAAATTATATAAACTATCTTACCCTCCATAATCAAAAAATTACAATAAAATTTCCATTTTCCTCCTTCCTGTCTTTCAAAAAACAGGGCTATTTACCAAAATGCTCCATAAGGACTACGAAAATATTTAGCCAAGATAAATTATCTAAGAAGAGTAAATCTGAAAGTGACCACTAAAAGCCAAACATTAAATGCAGCACAAATTTCCTATTCCTGCATTTTATTCATTGGGAAAAAAGGAAAGATACTTGTGTATTTCTGCACATATCACAACATACCAGCAACACATAAATTGTCTTAACGGCAAAGAAAAAAACTATACCAGTAAAATCTTCTATAGGGGCCCGTTAGCTACTTACAAATTTACAACAGATCATGAAAAATTGTTAGTGATAATGATAATGTCATAAAAGCTGTTAAAAGCTAAAGTTTCATCTACATTAAAACCACCACTAACTTCAAGCTTAAGATATGCTTAGGAAAATCTTTGGGGTCATTAGTCCATTTCAATACCAAATAGAAATTCAAAGAATAAACAACTGTGTGTGTGTGTGTGTGTGTGTGTGTGTGTGTGTGTGTGTGTGTGTGTACACAAGTAGGCTGCACGCAGGTGAAGTCTGGGCCTCCAACTGGCCCTCACACCCCCTACTATTTTTAAGGGACTTATTGATAGTCCAAAATGACTATTTTATATGCCATTGGCAATTTTATTTACACAACATTTTTCTATATTTATGGATAATTTTGTGATGCTTCTTCAACATTATCAAGTCTATGATAATCAGCATACAAAACGTGTGTGTGTGGTTTTTTTTCCTGGTAAGACTTATTCTGATATATTCGTTTAGTAATTGTTTGGATGAGCTGAACTGAAATCAAGTCAAATACACAGGTGTTTGGGTTAATTTAATCTTAGCACATTTGCAAAATCCATTATTCTCCCGATTTATTAAAAATGAAATAAAACTAACATGTGAGCATTGATTAGTGATGCACTTTCAGAAAGCTAAGTATAATTTTATTTTTAAAGTATAAGAACTTACAACCAGGCGTATTAGCATTCACTTCAAAGAATATCAGTACCCTATAGAATGCAATGAAAACTCTGTATCAACAGGAAAGGAAGAAAGGAAAAAAGGAAGGAGGAATAAAGAGACAAAAAAGGGAAGGCAATAATATTTTTACTTTACATAAGAAGGAAACTACTAGAAACAGACCAGTCCTAAGCAAAATTAAATTATTCAGAAATTAACATCTGAACACACACACAAGAATTCAAAAAAGATCTCATGTACTTAGTTGTGATGACAACCAACTTTTGCTGTGTTGGGGGGGGGTGCTGCAGCAACTCCTACAGAGATCTCCAGCTATTAAAAAAGACCCAGAATGCTTTTGGTCACAGCTGGATTCTTCTAGTTGTCACCTGGCATTACAGACACAAAGGGCTACTGATGCAGCTACCTCTGCAGCCTTTATTCAGCACCCTCTCTAGAAAATAGAGACATTCTTCCTGCACTCTGGGCTGAAACCCATGTAAATTTTTCCTAAATCCTCTCCACAAATCTCCTTTCGCATGCAAATCCATAAATCATCATAATACTGACAAAGAATTTAACCAACACATGAAACTAATACTCATTCTCTTGAAAGCCCTGTACAGGTAAAACTCCTCAAACTTCAGGCACCTTTTCAAGGCTCTCTTTAGAGCTTAACCTGCTGAATATATCAACATCGCCACCCAGTCTTCCAGGATGTGCAATTAATCACTCCAGGGAGGGTCAGATGGGCGGGACTGGCCAGTCCCATCCACCTTGGAGATAAACCCTGCCCCTCTGGGGCCCTGGAGCACCCTTTCCTGCCACCTCCTTCACATCCACACAAAACAGAACAAAATAAGCAACGTACAGAGCAGAAACAAGCTGTACTTACTGAGGATGGCAAACCTGGCGGAACTTTGCGAACTTTCTTTGTCTGTACCTCTGAAAGAAAACGAAGATGTGGTGAGCTCCCACGTGCCCCGTTCCCTAACTAAAAGACAGTAAACCACGAAGGCATTTAGACAACGTTTCCACCTTTCCTTCCATCATCACCTTAGCAAACCGTAGTTACCACGATCCCTTTTATTCTAGCAGCAATCAAAGTCTGCTTTGTTCAGAAAAAACGAAGAGACTTAACTTTTCACTGCTTTGATTTTCTAAAAGCTTCTATGTGTTCAGCCAAGAGAAAACCAGAAATAAGCATACACCCAAAATAGTTCTCCTGCTAATGTAAGTTGTTAACATACCCACCCAATGCACTACTGGGGAAAAGCACCAGCCTGAAAGCTGAGCCAAATTTTATGGGTTTTTTTTTTTTGAGGGGTGTGGTGGGTGTATGTAGGATGAGAGGGTGACATATAAAAAAAGAAAGAAAGAAAAAGACGGATACTAATTCCTCAGGCATTCAAACAGAGGAATCCACCTTACCCATGGCACTACTGTGAAGAGGCCTCCTTCTGGGGTTATTGCTAGAATACTGATAGTACTGAGAACCAGGTTTGGTGGGCGAAAGGGTTCCTGGGTTGCCCATATCCATGTCACCTCCAAGGAGACTCTGCTAAAAGGTTAAAAAGGGAAAACAGACACGTAAGGTACATTTTTTTTTTTTACAGTCACCACCCCCCAACTGATTGTTAGGACTTAAATCAATGCAATAAAGCAAACAGCATCTGCTAGGCTGAAACGATGAAAAGAAAACAAAAACCCCAAAGAATCGCAGCCTAAGAAGCTATCACCAAGTTGATGAATTTCAGATTCTTTACTAAGTAGGAAGGAAGGTAGAAGATGACTCCCTTTAGAAAATATTTTTTAAATCTCTTCCGATGGCTTCCATTTTAATCTCCTCAAATCAACAGCATTTATGTAAGACTACTGTTTTCTTTCTCCAGACTTAGGCTCCTCTCTGAGAACTATTCATGCTCTTCCTTAACAAGAACCAAGAAGAGTCTCGTTTTGTGAACGCACACAACTTCCCCGGCTGATCACACGGGGGGTGAGTGTAGACTCTCAACTCCACTGAGAACCCCGCTTCTCTACCCTGCACGTCATGATCCTCCACGAATTTGCACAGCACCCACAGGAGAGAAAATGCCAACTGAACCAAGAGGAAATGCAAATCCTCACGCTGACTTTCGAAATGATAGAAATACTAGACATTCTAAGCTAACAGGAAGAAATCAAAGGACTTTAGAATGCCCTCTTGAGGACTATCAGAAGCCAAAACACATCCCCAAAGATTAAACATTCACCTGAACACTAGAAAACTTTCACAAATATCATTAACTCATCACCGTATGACAAAACAGCAAACGTTCAAAAAGGATGACATAAGAAAGATGAGAGAATATTACATTTTCTAGAAACTACATAGAAACTTACCCATCATCTATAAATCGCCTGATTATACTCTGCATTGGACACATTGTTCTTTTAATTATTCTGATATGCAATAAAACAAAAGTAGATAGCACCGTTTATATGAAGAACAAATTTACTGTTTAATAAAGAAATTTTAAAATTAAGTACTAAAAATCTAACTTTATCGTTACTTGTAATCAACTTTTACTGACTGAACTAATTGCTGTCCTTGATAAAGTACAGAATGTGTTTTCCCTAATCTAAATTCTAATCACCATGTCACTCACAACAGACTTAGGGATGCTTCACTAACACACTATTCACATGCAAAATACTCTAAATAGGCCAATTATGACTCTGCCCCTGTTCCCTGGTTAACCCGCTGAGAACTGAAAAATTTCACAAGGCAGTCACCAACTAAAACAAAGGGTCCTTGTTTTAAATTAAGACAGTCTTTTTGATTCCTAAATAGCTCAACAAAGTGGCATGTCTTCTAGTGAAAGCAGTTGGTCAAATATGACCCATAAGCTGGAGAATCAAAAATTCAAACCTCCCTTTCCACCGCCATATAGTGAAATATCATAAAGAGAACCTCTCTATTCTGAGAGATTTTTCTGAGTGTTGAGTGAGTAATATATAAACAACTAATCAGCTCCTGACAAGCTCGCCTTCACTGATTCCAGTTTAAGACTTTTTCAAGAGATGCACAATAAACATTACTTAAAATACAACTTCGCGGATGAGATTTTAGGCTGAAAGCACATTTTGTGTAATAAACTCATGGTTGGTATTTTAATATTTACCACATAAACACCGGACAAAACCAGATTTACAAGACAAGAGCCTGACATCTTCATGTTCAACTACTGTCTGCCTCTTCTGAACTCAAAATATTAAAACACTACACAACGACAAACTAAAACACAGAACTCATCATAAAAAAAGTTTCTTGAGGAAATTTAACAGCACAACGTCAAATAATGTCTTTATTCTTTTAGGAGTAACCTTCGAAAATTTCAACCTAAATTTTACTCTTGGCAATCCTTATTAACAAAGTCGGTATTTAATTCCTCCTCCAAATTCTCTTTGAAATTTCCATCAATAAGCCTGTGAATGATTTTAATTCTACCAATGAGTCTTCACTTCATTGAAAATAACAGTGTATTCTAAGCAAACATAGTCTCATTTCTTCATTTTTCTTTCTCTAAAAATATATAAAATATTCGGAAAAGGGCTGACCAAATACACTGAAACGTTTGCTTGTCTTTTTTAATGAGCTTAACTATTGGTTAATTCTTCTTGGTCCTGGCGACAAAGGTTTCCACTCCCAAGAAAGTAAATGCATTTAATAGGTCAACCTAAAAACAAACACACTTGCTATACTGTGTTTTAGCAGCATTCGCAACAGGACTGCGAAAAATTTTAAATGATAAGTACAAAATAGCTAACTGGCTGTGGTTGACCTTATTGTTCATTTAAAAGAAAATCATTTCATGGGCCAGTTATAAATAACCCATCCAACTCTTGCTATGCACCCACATGAACTATGTACAGCAACACAGTCCTAAGCTCAGACAGCACTTAAAAACTTTTAGTGACGCTTGCTAATCTTTTTATTTTTATTTTTTCACAAAGCAAATTCCTGTTTCTTTCTTTTTAGATGTGTTTGTTCCTTTTTCTTTTTCACTTGGACAATAGACTCATTCTTCTAAAGCAACAAAAATAAACATTTCCTCACACTTAAAGGAGCCCTAAACACCTCCTCAGGGAAAATGAAGATAAAAATATATGAGTTCTTATTATGGAGTCTACTTGTAACATGAACAATGACCATTTAGTATTGTTTGGCCTTTACGGCACATACTTAACTCTTTGTAGCAAAGAGAAAGATAAAAAATTTTCCACTGGCTGAAAAACCTGAGTTGAAGGATTTTTAAAAGTTAGTGGCACTTGATTTAGAAAGTAAATGAAACACTGCACACAACAGATCAGATGAGGCATTCACTAATATTACGAATTTGCCTACGAGGATCTATAGCCCTTAAGACATTTATGCTTAATAAAAGTCAAGTCTAAAAACTAAGTCCTACTTCCAAACTGGGCAAATTCACCCTTGCCCTAAACAGGATTATAATGGTTTTAGGTTTTTCACATTGTGCAAGTTCATGCCCTGCGGTTATTCTGGGTCCCAGGCGTAGGCTGCCCGAATCAGCCAGGAAACACTGGAAGCAAGATGTGGCATCTCACAGAGCCAACCTGTAAATCTTAAAGCCAGAGTTGAGCACTTTGCTTAACTGTCCACAGTGTGATGGAGCAAGCCCTCCCCCTTCTTCACTCCTCTTTTCTTCCAGAGCCAAACCATGTCAAGATTGAAAGCACCCTGTCCGCAGAATGCAATACACTGGCTTTGTCAACCAGGTTTAAATGTGTTGGAGTTCACCCTCTGCAGCCAATTCCCCAGCAAACAGCCAATTCTAACTTAGCCATTCAAATCCCAAACGCTGCGTTCTGTGCGCGCCCTTTTCCATTAAAATGTTTGTTTGTTTTACATCAGGTCTGGGTCTCGGACTCTCTTTCAGACACATTCTCAACCCTGTCCCTGTTCCTTTTAAAAGCAGAGAAGCTTCTTGACATCCTGGATCAACCAGTGAACTTTGCTCATGCAACCAAGAATGCAGACCATGAATTACAACTTGAGCAACAGGAAAGCAGCATATAACTCAGATTAGATTTATAACTGAATGGTAATCAAAAATAGAACTCAATGCTTGAAGCTTAAATTATCAACTTTTTTCTTGTTGAACTAAAATCATCTTGCTCTGAACTATTATTTGATTTCAGTCAGCACTTTAGATGTAATGGGTGGGTGGTACATTTCTAAAAGGAAGATTATATTTACCCTTAATTATAGATATGAGTGAGATCAGAGTACGATGAATGCTCCTTTTTGGGCTTATAATTAATTCATCTAATAGGTGAATGACCTTGAATTTCAGAGTTGGAAACTGGGAGAAGAGAAAAAGAAGTAGGAGAAGGGGAAAAAAAGAATCTCCAGAGAAAAGTGAATGTGCCCCTGGTTTCTTAGGGCTTTCTCTGATTTTGCGTCACTCCCATTACATTGTGATCCGATATCAGACACAACATCTTGGGGAGAGGTTGCAGAGCAGAGAAAAGCGTCTCAGATGAAACCAGATTAAGCTCCTTTTCTGAACTATTGCCAAATGCTTGTGAGTCTAATTCATGTTTGGGTATTCTAGTATTCACACAGCTGCAATTCCATTCTTTCATCACAAACCTAAGTGATGTATGGTGGCTTTGTATGGCAAACTGACTCTGGGAAGCCAGGAATTTTTTCATGTTCATATGGAAATAAAATTCGAAGCCATTTATGAATGCTGGAGATAGACACAGGTACCTCACAGACTCTTCCATGTGAAGTGCAAAATGCACATGGAGAGAGATTACAAGTTAGATTTGTTTAAAACACCTTATCACAACCGAGGTCATTTCTACATAGTTAATTCTGCACAGAATTGGGTTTTCAAAGACACTGCTGAATAAGATTCCTATCAGCCATGGGGAAGTTTCTGTAAATCCCTGTCGAATAGCTGCTGCTGAATTTGCCATTTTGACCACAGAAGAGCCATTGCAAGAGCAGGAGGGGGCGATAATTTTGCTGCTGCTGGCACTTACTCTGCAACCTAGAATATATCTCGCACCAAAGGGCAATGAAGAACACAATATTTCCACCTGTCCACTTCTGAACTTCGAAGCTCAAAACTGAAGGTCAATCTTTGGACAGTCTTGACTCTTGATCCCGGCAGGTCTAAGAGTACACACTTTATCGTTTATTCTGATTTCTGTCTGATGCTTGGTTTCAACAAAAGAAAACTTGGGAAAGACAAGATGGCAAAGATAGCTTGCAAATCAAGGACTAACAGATTGTTATTGTGCTGTAGAGAAATGCAAATTATTGAAATTACCATTTAGCAAATATTTGATAAGGGCTTTGGATCAATGTGGGTTTTTTTTCTCTATTTCTACCTTACACGCGTTATACACGCTGTGTTCGTAACAAGTCAGAGGAGAATTCAAGTAAACCAAGGAAAGAGGAAGGACACTGAGGCCAGACCAATCATGTGGAACGCTACCTCAAAAGCATATAAACAATGTGATCGGGGTTGCCGATGTAACTGCTAC